ATACTAGAGCTACGTAGCCATCAAAGTTAAGGACCAGTTAAGGACTAAAGGGATAAGGGACCAACAACAAGAACCGTGAGACAAAATCCGCTACAGGACCCGGCAGGATATCCGCAGGCATACTGAAAGAATGTGCCGAGATCCTAAGCAAGCCACTCAATAACCAGGCCATCGGAGGAAGGAATGTCATACCAATATACCAGAATAGGAAAACAACATTAACTACCCAACTACATATCAGTGTCACTAACAAGCGAACCATGCAAAGCGCTTAAAAGAACACGGACGAGAGTGCAACACGTATAGCCTTGAGGTAATTAAGTTTGCAACAAAGCCGCAGGAAGTCTTGCCTCACAAGCTTCCAACTCCACAAGGAAGAATCACACGAGATAAAGGTGGGTGGACTGCAAATTCCTCGACCGTCAGAGAGCACTTGACACTGTACGCGGCTCCTGTACCCGCATCAGGAAAACGGGTACAGCTATAAACAATTGGCAAGCAAACCATCGAATCCCAGGCACTAGGAAGGTCGAGCTGGTGATGTAGGCACGTTGCGGAGTCCCTTAAGGGTCGGTGCTGGGCCCTAAGGTATTTCACGTGGACCTGAATCATGCGTGATAAGCGTTATCATGAAGATATCAGGACAAGGAAGTAATGCACAAGGCCTCCAGGAAAAGTTTTTTTTGAATATGCATCATGGCCGCCATCTTTAAGAGACCTCCACGGGGGACAGACAGCCCTGAGGGCCACCACCACGGGGACAGGCAGCCCTGAGGGCCACCACCACGGGGACAGGCAGCCCTGAGGGCCACCACCACGGGGACAGGCAGCCCTGAGGGCCACCACCACGGGGACAGGCAGCCCTGAGGGCCACCACCACGGGGACAGCCAGCCCTGAGGGCCACCACCACGGGGACAGCCAGCCCTGAGGGCCACCACCACGGGGACAGGCAGCCCTGAGGGCCACCACACGGGGACAGGCAGCCCTGAGGGCCACCACCACGGGGACAGCCAGCCCTGAGGGCCACCACCACGGGGACAGCCAGCCCTGAGGGCCACCACCACGGGGACAGACAGCCCTGAGGGCCACCACCACGGGGGACAGGCAGCCCTGAGGGCCACCACGGGGGACAGACAGCCTGAGGGCCACCACGGGGGACACACAGCCCTGAGGGCCACCACCACGGGGACAGGCAGCCCTGAGGGCCACCACCACGGGGACAGGCAGCCCTGAGGGCCACCACCACGGGGACAGGCAGCCCTGAGGGCCACCACCACGGGGACAGGCAGCCCTGAGGGCCACCACCACGGGGACAGGCAGCCCTGAGGGCCACCACCACGGGGACAGCCAGCCCTGAGGGCCACCACCACGGGGACAGCCAGCCCTGAGGGCCACCACCACGGGGACAGGCAGCCCTGAGGGCCACCACCACGGGGGACAGCCAGCCCTGAGGGCCACCACCACGGGGACAGCCAGCCCTGAGGGCCACCACCACGGGGACAGCCAGCCCTGAGGGCCACCACCACGGGGGACAGCCAGCCCTGAGGGCCACCACCACGGGGGACAGCCAGCCCTGAGGGCCACCACCACGGGGACAGCAGCCCTGAGGGCCACCACCACGGGGACAGGCAGCCCTGAGGGCCACCACCACGGGGACAGGCAGCCCTGAGGGCCACCACCACGGGGACAGCCAGCCCTGAGGGCCACCACCACGGGGACAGGCAGCCCTGAGGGCCACCACCACGGGGACAGGCAGCCCTGAGGGCCACCACCACGGGGACAGCCAGCCCTGAGGGCCACCACCACGGGGACAGCCAGCCCTGAGGGCCACCACCACGGGGACAGCCAGCCCTGAGGGCCACCACCACGGGGACAGGCAGCCCTGAGGGCCACCACCACGGGGACAGGCAGCCCTGAGGGCCACCACCACGGGGACAGCCAGCCCTGAGGGCCACCACCACGGGGACAGCCAGCCCTGAGGGCCACCACCACGGGGACAGGCAGCCCTGACGGGGGCCACCACCACGGGGACAGGCAGCCCTGAGGGCCACCACCACGGGGGACAGGCAGCCCTGAGGGCCACCACGGGGGACAGGCAGCCCTGAGGGCCACCACCACGGGGACAGCCAGCCCTGAGGGCCACCACCACGGGGACAGCCAGCCCTGAGGGCCACCACCACGGGGACAGGCAGCCCTGACGGCCACCACCACGGGGACAGGCAGCCCTGAGGGCCACCACCACGGGGGACAGGCACCCCTGAGGGCCACCACCACGGGGACAGGCAGCCCTGAGGGCCACCACCACGGGGACAGCCAGCCCTGAGGGCCACCACGGGGGACAGACAGCTCTGAGGGCCACCACCACGGGGACAGGCAGCCCTGAGGGCCACCACGGGGGACAGGCAGCCCTGAGGGCCACCACGGGGGACACCAGCAGCACTAGCAGCAGGAGGAGTAGTGTGGATAATCTTTCTATTGGTTGGTGTTCTACTAGAGTAATGTTTCCTGCCTCTACACAGACGCCGTCTTGACAACTCACCCAACATGGACCTGAGTCCTGGCCTTGTTGCTGTGGACTCTTCCCTTCCTCAGTATATACTCTAATCTTCTAAGCTTTCTAACAAACGTGACCTAACATAAGCCTACCCATCCTCTTTTTGGCTAACTCCATAACTTTAAAAGCAGATATGTTAAGCCAAGAGCCATTAGATAACAAACTGCTAGAAAAGCTGGGTCCAAGAGCAAGAGCTCGATCCCACAGGCACAAATAGGTGAGTACACACATGAGAACAGAACATCAGAACGGCGTTCAGGAACCTGTGTAAGGAATCATTCAGAATCTTGTACACCACATATGTAAGACCAATCCTGGAGTATGCGGCCCCAGCATGGAGCCCGTACCTTGTCAAGCACAAGACGAAGCTGGAAAAAGTTCAGAGGTATGCTACTAGACTAGTCCCAGAACTAAGAGCCATGAGTTATGAGGAAAGGCTGCGGGAAATGCACCTCATGTCGTTTGAATATAGGAGAGTTCAGGGAGACATGATCACCACATACAAAATTCTCAGGGGAATTGACAGGGTAGACAAGGATGGATTATTTAACACGGGTGGGATACGAACAAGGGGACACAGGTGGAAACTGAGTACCCAAATGAGCCACATAGATATTAGAAAGAACTTTTTCAGTGTCAGAGTAGTTAGTTAACAGGTGGAATGCATTAGGCAGTGATTTGGTGGAGGCTGACTCCATACACAGTTTTAAGTGTAGATATGATAGAGCCCAGTAGGCTCAGGAATCTGTACACCAGTTGATTGACAGTTGAGAGGCGGGACCAAAGAGCCAGAGCTCAACCCCCGCAAGCACAACTAGGTGAGTACACACACCCTCACCTCAGGGAGAGGGGGCGCCCCCCACGGGGAGAGGGGGCGCCCCTCTCCCCGTGGGGGGCGCCCCCCACGGGGAGAGAGGGGCGCCCCCACGGGGAGAGGGGGCGCCCCCACGGGGAGAGGGGGCGCCCCCCACGGGGAGAGGGGGCGCCCCCCACGGGGAGAGCGGGCGCCCCCCACGGGGAGAGGGGGCGCCCCAGAGAAAGGGGGAGTCCCAAAGAGAGAGAGGGGGGATGTCCCCCTAGGGAGTATGGCGGTGAAAGAGACACCTTCTACCCCCCTGCCCCCCCCCCCCCCCCCCCCCTGCCCCCCCCCCCCCCCCCCCCCCCCCTGCCCTGAGGGCCTGCACCCCCTACAACACACTAATGAACAACTACGGGATCCGGATAACAGGAGATCCGCTCGCTCGAAAATTCCGGTATACCAGAATTCTCACCCTCAGATTAGTGCATACAGATAAGATCACTCATGAACGCTACTTGCTGTCTCGCTTACCTCCTTGTGTCTGTCTGTTTGTCTTGTGCTAAGTTGATGTACTGGTTCATTTTTTTTGTGTCGTATTGTACTGGGTCCGGAAACGGTGGTGCCGGGTTAAGGGCGCGAGGGGGTGGAGCAGGTGTAGAGTGACTTGAAGATGAGCGAAGCTTGGAATGTGGTTTACCTCCCTGGTCCTTAATAGGCTCTAACCTTGTCACTTTGTAGCCCCCCCCCCCCCTCCTGTGTGTGTGTGTGTGTGTGTGTGTGTGTAGTGTGTGTAGTGTGTGTGTGTGTGTAGTGTGTGTGTGTGTGTGTGTGTGTGTGTGTGTGTGTGTGTGTGTGTGTGTGTGTGTGTGTGTGTGTGTGTGTGTGTGTGTGTTTGTGTGTGTGTGTGTGTGTGTGCGTGTACTCACCTAGTTGTACTCACCTAGTTGTGTTTGCGGGGGTTGAGCTCTGGCTCTTTGGTCCCGACTCTCAACCGTCAATCAACAGGTGTACAGATTCATGAGCCTATCGGGCTCTGTCATATCTACACTTGAAACTGTGTATGGAGTCAGCCTCCACCACATCACTTCCTAATGCATTCCATTTGTCAACGACTCTGACACTAAAAAAGTTCTTTCTAATATCTCTTTGGCTCATTTGGGCACTCAGTTTCCACCTGTGTCCCCCTGTGCGTGTTCCCCTTGTGTTAAATAGACTGTCTTTACCCTATCAATTTCCTTCAGAATCTTGAATGTGGTGATCATGTCCCCCCTAACTCTTCTGTCTTCCAGCGAAGTGAGGTTTAATTCCCGTAGTCTCTCCTCGTAGCTCATACCTCTCAGCTCGGGTACTAGTCTGGTGGCAAACCTTTGAACCTTTGTGTGTGTGTGTGTGTGTGTGTGTGTGTGTGTGTGTGTGTGTGTGTGTGTGTGTGTGTGTGTGTGTGTGTGTGTGTGTGTGTGTGTGTGTGTAAAATTACCTATGTGTAGTTACAGGATGAGAGCTAAGCTCGTAGTGTCCCGTCTTCCCAACACACACACACACCCAGTGTGTGTGTGTGTGTGCGCGCGTGCGTGTGCGTGATAATATACCGGTGACAATGACATTATCCAAACAGTGTTGATCATGTTCCATAATTACCAAACTAGGTGACTTGAAGTGCTCGTATAGCATTGCATCCCCCGGGAGGTCTCTAGCGCCTGGAACCCGGGCCCGAGCCCTCGAGGACCCCTCAGCCCCACAACATGCCTGCCTATATCGTCAAAATCCGTAAGAAAGAGGACCTGAACAACCTAACAGGGGTTCAGAAGAGCGGTGGAACCACCGTGTACAAGATTCGCCTCAACAATAACATTAGCAGCGAGTGTCCGGATGTGGTTGGCCACGACCTCGGCAACCCTCTTAGTGTCGCTAACGTTCGGACTAACAGCTGTAACAACGCTATGGTTAACTACCGGTCTAGTAACGCAGTGAGTAACAATGTTGTATACAGCAACGGCAGTGAGAACGATAACGGAAATGTGTACCTGAACGATAACGGAAGTTCGTACCCGAACAATAGTTTGTGTTCGCTCGGCTACAGCCTGGAGCGGCGCGCCGTCAAAGTAGCAGATTTCGCCAGTAAAGTGTGTTCCGTAGTGGGCCGCACCAGCTCCAGCAAGGTCAGTAACACTAGTGTTCCGTAGTGGGCCGCACCAGCTCCAGCAAGGTCAGTAACACTAGTGTTCCGTAGTGGGCCGCACCAGCTCCAGCAAGGTCAGTAACACTAGTGTTCCGTAGTGGGCCGCACCAGCTCCAGTAAGGTCAGTAACACTGTCTAGTGTTCCGTAGTGGGCCGCACCAGCTCCAGCAAGGTCAGTAACACTCTAGTGTTCCGTAGTGGGCCGCACCAGCTCCAGCAAGGTCAGTAACACTGTCTAGTGTTCCGTAGTGGGCCGCACCAGCTCCAGTAAGGTCAGTAACACTGTCTAGTGTTCCGTAGTGGGCCGCACCAGCTCCAGTAAGGTCAGTAACACTGTCTAGTGTTCCGTAGTGGGCCGCACCAGCTCCAGTAAGGTCAGTAACACTCTCCAACCGTTCTTCAGTCCCAGTGTGTGTGTGGGGGTACTCAGGACTCCCCCGGATGCTGCATATTCTCTTCTTCCAGGCACAGGGTCCCCATAAACACAACTTGGAGGAGATACTCCTTATATAAAAAAATATTTATATGTATACATATATTTTTTTAAAATCAATTACTAGATATATTTATTGTTAGTAAGACTAATGATGTTTCAGCCACTCTCAGAGGAAATAGATCTTATATTATGCTGCCTAATGGTCCTTGTATATATGTGTATATATATATATATATATATATATATATATATATATATATATATATATATATATATATATATATATATATATATATATATATATTAGTATATTTTGGTAGCAGTCTTTCCAGTAGACATATATTATTAAATATGACCGAAAAAGTAAGATTAATAATTCTAACACGAATTTTCTCTATCTTTCTTACATTTCTTTTCACTGTTGATGGTAATTCAAAGATCAATTCTCCAAAATTCATTTTTATTTGTAGTCTGACGCGACACTTGAGCGCGTTTCGTAAAACTTATTACATTTTCAAAGACTTTAGTTTACAAACACACAACTGAAACTGAATAGAGCTTTACACATCTTCGAGGTTTATATCTACATTTGGGTGAGGTGGATGAGGTGAAAAACGAACTTTCAACAATGGGTATTAAATTCAAACACAAGACAGAACACGAAACAATGGGTATTGAATGGAAGTAATTGTAGAAAGCCTATTGGTCCATATTTCTTGATGCTTCTATATTGGAGCGGAGTCTTGAAGTGGGTAGAATATAGTTGTGCATTAATTGGCTGTTGATTGCTGGTGTTGACTTCTTGATGTGTAGTGCCTCGCAGACGTCAAGCCGCCTGCTATCGCTGTATCTATCGATGATTTCTGTGTTGTTTGCTAAGATTTCTCTGGTGATGGTTTGTTTATGGGAAGAGATTATATGTTCCTTAATGGAGCCCTGTTGCTTATGCATCGTTAAACGCCTGAAAAGAGATATTGTTGTCTTGCCTATATACTGGGTTCTTTAAGGCTTACAGTCCCCAAGAGGGCATTTGAAGGCATAGACGACGTTGGTCTCTTTTAAAGTGTTCTGCTTTGTGTCTGGAGAGTTTCTCATGAGTAGGCTGGCCGTTTTTCTGGTTTTATAGTAAATCGTCAGTTGTATCTCTGATTTTTGTCTGTAGGGATAACGTTTCTACTGACACTATCTTTCAGGACCCTTTCCTCCGTTTTATGAGCTGTGGAAAAGAAGTTCCTGTAAAATAGTCTAATAGGGGGTATAGGTGTTGTGTTAGTTGTCTCTTCAGAGGTTGCATGGCGTTTCACTTTCCTTCTTATGATGTCTTCGACGAAACCATTGGAGAAGCCGTTGTTGACTAGGACCTGCCTTACCCTACAGAGTTCTTTGTCGACTTGCTTCCATTCTGAGCTGTGGCTGAGAGCACGGTCGACATAAGCGTTAACAACACTCCTCTTATACCTGTCCGGGCAGTCACTGTTGGCATTGAGGCACATTCCTATGTTTGTTTCCTTAGTGTAGACTGCAGTGTGGAAACCTCCGCATATATATATATATATATATATATATATATATATATATATATATATATATATATATATATATATATATATTAGTGTAAGCAGTAGCATCACTGGACCTAACTAAACAGTTGGGCCGGGTCTAAGAATCATCTTGGATGTTAGAGACATGATAAAGAAGTTGAAAATACCTAATGGTATTGCCAGGGTAGAAAAAAGAGGAAAAATGTATAATGTGATGAGGAAAATAGGTGAGGGATCATTGGCATTATGGCACCCAGTGGGTAGAGAGGCGGGTCCGAGAGCTGGAGCTCGACCCTGCGGGCACTGATAGGTGGGTACAGTCATGTAGTTTCTTTATTTAGGTCCATTGACAACGTTGTTGGAGGGCGAGTGTTATTATCTGTCATCCGCTCCCATGTGTAGTGGTGGTGGTGTAGTGGTGGTGGTGTTGGTGGTGATGGTGGTGTTGGTGGTGGTGTAGTGGTGGTGTTGGTGGTGGTGGTGGTGGTGGTGGTGGTGGTAGT